ACACAGTTTTCGCTGTATTTGGGTAAACAGCATGCTGGTATGAGTGTAACCGCCGCCCTATGGCCGCATACTTGACGCACTACCGTCTGGCTTGGAGAGTTTGGCGGGGCGCACCCGCACCTCGTCTGTCAGGCTTGGCGTAACAGCTCGCACAACCCACGGCGTCATACTACGTGGCTCCTGGGGCCCCGCTCGGAAATGATTGTTTTCTGTCTCGAACAACCGAATTGTCTTTTTCCTCAGAAATCTTTGGTGGCATAGGTCGTTCGTGCCTGTACTCGTCTTCAGTGACCAACGACTTTTCTGAATAGGTGCGTGGGGCGATACAATGACGACAACATGGGCTCTACGGGGAAACGTGTGGTGTTTGGTTTCTGGTTGTGCTGAGTGCAGGGATAACTGAGCAGCGGTTTTTTTCTGGAATGAACATATTAACGGAGATTTTGCAGCCTGAGTCAACGACGAAGTGGTACAGCTATGAGGGGTTAAATTAGGGCATGATGGGCTCTTTATATCAAATACAGTGACGTATCCAAGTGGTCGTGGAGCTTTATGACTACGAACACAATTTTGTATTAAAATATCATAGACACTAGCGTGGGCCTCGTCATGCTGAGCCAAACGGACGTAATTTAGTAAACAGACTAGTGGCAACAGGGGGAATGTGTTCGGTGCGCAGCTGAAACAGTTGTGTAAGGCACCGTGGCAAACCAGCATCAAAAGCTCGTCGATACGCTGGCATCATACCTAAACGCATTTAGACGGTTTCTTGATCCGTTCTCTGTGCGCAAGTAATCTCAGTGGGGATGGGACTCGCAAATCCTGGCAGCCCCCGGTCTGAGGTAGGGATGAACCTGAGGTAGCAAGTCCAGGTGGGCCCTATTCGGTTGACCGTCTTGGACCCATATGAGCCCCGGTTGTAAACGTTGGTTGGGCCCCATGTGTGCCCCAGTTAGGCCTCACATGGGCCCAACAAGGGCCACGCAATGGGACCCAGGTGCTTGCCCATGATATGCCCACAAGGGAACGAAGTGGACAGCCCAGGTGGGCCCCATATGACCGTCCAACTGGGACCCACATGAGTCCCAACTGGGCATGCTGGTTGGGGTTACCCGTCAAGGTCAAACACGGACTCAAAGGATGGGGAACTCAACATCACCCAAAAATTGCCGCCCGATTTTCAACTTACAAACATAAGAGTATTCACCACATAAAAAACTAGCCTCCGTCAAAAGATCCTGACCTCTCAAGGCTATCCTTCAAGGTCAAACGCGGACCCAAAGGACGGGGAAATCCATATCACTTTAAAGTTACCGCCCGATTTTCAGCTTACAAGCATCAGAGCATTCGCTCAAGAAAATCCTAACGTCCCTCAAAAAGAGCTGACCGCTCAAGGTCATCCTTCAAAGCCAAACGCGGACTCAGAGGTGGGGAACTCCATATCAACCAAAATTACCGGCCCATTTTAAACTTCAACTGTCAAAACATTCACAAGAAGATCTAGCGTCAATGAAAATAGCCTGACCATTCAAGGTCACTCTTCAAGGTCAAAAGCGGAGTCAAAGGACGGAGAACTTCATATCACCAAAAATTACCGGCCGATATTCAACTTGCAAATGCCAGAATATTCACCACAGATAGAACAAGAGTCCGTGAAAACGTTCTGACCCCTCAAGGTCATTTTTCAAGGTCAAACGGAGACTAAAATTACGTGGAACTCCATATCACCCAAAAATTACCGGCCGATTTGAAACCTGCCGCTGTCAGAATAGTCACCACAAAAAGCTGGCTTCCGTGAAAAGGTCCTGACCTCTCAATGTCATTTTTCAAGGCCATTGTTTAAGGTCAAACGCGGGCGCAAAGGACGGGGAACTCTATACCACCACAAAAATTACCGGCTGATTTAAACTCGTAGGCATCAGAATATTCACACAAATAAGAATAAAATAGAGTAAAATAAAATCATCAGAACATTCATCTCAAAAACCTTGCAGGAATATTAGAATATTGACTTTGAAGGGTGACATTGGAAGTTCAGGAATTTCTGACGGACGCTGGTGATTTCTGTGATGAGTATTCTGATGTTTGTAAGTTGAAAATCAGTCGGTATTTTTTTAGTGATATCGAGTTCTCCGTCCTTTAAGTCGTGTTTAATCTTAAAGAGTGACCTTGAGAGTTGAGAACGTTTTGACGGATGCTATTTTTTTGTGGTGAATATTCTGACATTTGCAAAGTGAATATCGGCCGGTAATTTTTGGGTGATATCGAGTTCCCCGTCCTTTTAGCCCACGTTTGACCTTGAAGGACGACCTTGAGATGGCAGGACGCCAGCTCTTGAGATTTTGAATATTTTGAGTTTTCAAATCAGCCAGTAATTTTTAGATGGCATCGAGTCTTCCGTCCTTTGATTCCATGTTTGACGTTGAAGTATGACCTTGAGAGGTCAGGACTTAATGACAGACGCTAGTTCTTTCTAGGGTGAATATTCTGACATTTGGAAGTTGAAAATCGGCCGGTAGTTTTTGGGTGATATCAAGTTCCCCGTCCTTTGAGCCCGTGTTTGGCCTTGAAGGGTGACCTTGAGATGTCTGGACTTTTTGACAGACGCCAGCTCCTGCGCTTGTTAATATTTTGATACCCATAGTTTTCAAATCGGCCGGTAACTTTTTGGTGATATGAAGTTCCCCGTCCTTTGTACCCGCGTTTGACCTTGAAGGGTGACCTGGTGAGGTCACAATTTTTTGACGGATGCTATTTCTTTCTGCGGTGAATATCCTAATATTTGCAAGCCGAAAATCGACCGATAATTTTTGGGTGATATCAAGTTTCCCGCCCTTTGATTCAGCTCTTGACCTTGAAGGTCACATGATGTTGCAAAATATGGGTATTTTTGGTGCTCTCATGCCACAATTGTCCTTCAGATCATGTCCAGAGCAATTGGAACTCGTCGCTGAATAAATCGCTGACTAAATCGCTAACTTCGCGGACATAATGAGCGAGGAGGGCGAGGGTGGGCACGGTCCTAAAAGCCCCACACTTTGGCCACGCCATTGATGCTGTGGTATGAAATCAGTATACAAGGACAGTCTCAAGGCACGCAGGTCGCTTTTGGTACACCGACGACCATTTCAGGCAGCGTATATCAAATAAATTGATGTGTAGTGACCTTTCATGGTATGGACATGCTGGACATTTTTACAATGAACCCGGCTTAGAATCATCGTGTCTTCTGTGAACAAAGCACTATGCAACGTCCCAGAAAGCAGAATTTTCCGACTCCATGTTAATGAGCAGTCAGGGTCACCTGACCTGTAGGGCCATCGCGCAAAATTAATCATTAAAGAAGGTCACAAAATATCTAGATGTGAGTCACGCTGCGTACCAAAGCGTCACAAAATATGGCAATACGCAGACAATATTCCCCCGGTAAATATAGCAGACAGCAGTACTTTAGGGAATTAAACCGCATAACAAATCAATCATTCTTGGGAACTTGCTCCACGTTTGGCGCGTTTGGCGTGTGTTGCCGCCGGTGCGTGTTGTGGGTGGGTTAGGTAAGTTCTGTGTATTATGGAGTGATGTTGAGCGGTAACATTTTTGGTTTGAATTTCGGCTATAAGTGCCGTCCTTTAACTTGATATCCTGGTAAGAGGCTGCTTAGAGGACCGGACGTCGTGAAAAGATGCGCCGGGATTTGCCTCATTTATTCCTGTCTGCTTCAAGCTTTATGAAAACGTGTGTTAGGGGATGTATCTAGTATAGGCGTGTGCTGCCTAACGTTGTCATTAATGTCGTCGTGACTATGCTTGTAGTGATGCATGTAAAAGTCGTTAATACCTAAGTCTTCAAAGATGATGGTGTGTTGATCTTTCTTAGTTTCTCCATGCAAAATGTAAATGCTTAGTAAGACTTGAAACATTGATGCCTCTTTGCTGAGTTATAAGTTGAAACACTCCTCACTTTTGCTGCACTGGGAATATTTATATGTGACCTGCCAAGGAGGATTTGGTTTCACTGCTCTTGATAATTGTCTCAAATTGCTATCAATCAGATTCAAGTAAGGTGGTACATTACAAAACATTCTGTGGCATTTTGTATGCATATATAAGTGGTTTCATTTTTAACCCTCAGCCTACAGAAGTACATGAAGGTTGTGGGGGTCCATAGTTGGTTGAAAATGATTGGAGAAAGCCTATGATCATGTGCCACTTTCACAAAAATCACATATTTTCCATTGTTTTCAGTGTGGTAATGCCGCACATTGTCTGTTTTGTGTCTTGTAACAGTGAGAAGGGCTCAAATTTATTCTTCCCACTGGCTTCTTGGATTTTGGTCTTGTCATTTATATTTGGCATCTTTAATCTTTTCAGGTGGAGTTGCAACTGACCTTCCACAGCCTATTGCAGTCTCCAGCATCCTTACCTCCTGTGCCTGGATTAATGTGTGATAAAATATGGCTTCTGTAATGCTGGATTGACATTGACAGGAGCAAATGTATTTGTGATCATTGTGAGTGAGTGTGGTATGGTGTTTTCAAACAAATATATTTTTATAATATGTACATTTTTGTGATGATTGCAAAGTGTAGTAGCATCACTGCTACCAAATTTATATTGTGGTATTCCCTTTTGATAGCCAGCATAAGTTTCCATTTTCCTTGCTTTGTTGTGAATATCATGTTCCGAGTGGTTCTATTAAGTTTATTGGAAGGTGTCAGCAGATTCTTTTCTGAAAGTTTATTGCTTTGTAAGTTTCTGTCTTGAGCTTACTGTTAGTTCACCATATCAAAATAAACCATCTGATTTAGGTATGAGCAAATACAATCCCTTTTGACTTAACCAAATTAGCTGCAGTACTTGTCAACATATGGCATTGTGTGCCATGGATGGGCCTAAGGTTGGCTCCCTGACATGTCAGACAACATGCTCTGACATGTTTCAACAGTGTTTGGAAAGGTTGTCTGGGTTTCTCCTCTAGGTGTAGCAGCAGCTGTGTCGGAGGCGCACGGATCCACAGGCATTAGCAGCAGCGACAGGGTGGCGCGGTCCGCCACGTCCACAGGCGTTTCAGCGCCGGCGACGCAGCAGTTCCCACTTAGGTGACAGGTCAGTGTGAGCAGCCAGCCATGGGCGAGGACCGCGACCGAGACAGAGACCGCGACCGCGACCGGGATCGGGACCGCGACCGGGACCGGCGCAAGCGTAGCCGCTCGCGGGACAAGGACCGGCGGCACCGCTCGCGCTCGCGCGACAGGAAGCGCGACCGTTCACGCTCTCGCGATCGCGGAGACCGCGGCGGGGTGACGAAGCTGACGCGAAAGAAGCCAAGCAAGTACTGGGACATCCCGCCACCGGGCTTCGAACACATTACGCCGCTGCAGTACAAGGCGATGCAGGCGGCCGGCCAGATCCCGACCAACCCCGTGCCAGAGTCGTTGGCAGGCGGTACGCCCGTAGTGGGTTCGGCCATCACGCGTCAGGCGCGTCGCCTCTACGTCGGCAACATCCCCTTCGGTGTCACCGAGGAGGAGATGATGGAGTTCTTCAACCAGCAGATGCACCTCAGCGGGCTCGCCCAGGCGGCCGGCAACCCCGTGCTTGCATGCCAGATCAACCTAGACAAAAACTTTGCCTTCCTCGAGTTCCGCTCCATCGACGAGTGCACGCAGGCGGTAGCGTTTGACGGCATTAACCTGAAGGGCCAGAGTCTGAAGATCCGGCGGCCGCACGACTACCAGCCGATGCCGGGCATCACCGACGGGCCGGCCTCCTCCGTGCCCGGCGTCGTCGGCGTCGTCTCGACCGTCGTGCCCGACTCGCCCAACAAGATCTTCGTCGGCGGCCTGCCCAGCTACCTGACCGAAGACCAGGTGAAGGAGCTGCTCATGTCGTTCGGCCAGCTGCGCGCCTTCAACCTCGTCAAGGACTCGGCCACCGGCCTCAGCAAGGGCTTCGCCTTCTGCGAGTACGTGGACACGTCGTTGACAGAGCAGGCGATCCAGGGTCTGAACGGCATGCAGCTGGGTGACAAGAAGCTGATCGTGCAGCGCGCCAACGTCGGCTCCAAGAACTCGGGCATGATGGCGCCGGTGCAGATTCAGGTGCCGGGCCTGCAGCTGACGAGCGGCGCCGGGCCCGCCACTGAGGTGCTCTGCCTGCTCAACATGGTCACGCCCGACGAGCTCCGCGACGACGAGGAGTACGAGGACATCGTCGAGGACATCAAGATGGAGTGCAACAAGTACGGCGTCGTCAAGAGCATCGAGATCCCGCGACCCATCGACGGTGTCGAGGTGCCCGGCCTCGGCAAGGTGTTCGTCGAGTTTAACTCAGTGATGGACTGCCAGAAGGCGCAGCAGCACTTGACGGGCCGGAAGTTCGCCAGCCGCGTCGTCGTCACGTCGTACGTCGATCCGGACCGCTACCACCGGCGCGACTTCTGAGTGGCCTGACGCGACCCGCCGCCGGCCGGCGGGGGTGTCGCCTCGTGAGGCCCGTCGCTCGTCCAGGCGTCGCCGCGGAAATAATCTCCCAGTGTGGCTGTCCCGCGTGCACTTACCGACCGCGCGCACCCCGCGTCGGCTGCGCCAGGACGCGCCGCCGACCCCAGCCGCTCGGCGTACGGCGGTGTTTGGGTCGAGAGCGAGGCCCGTAGCTATCTCATTGCGAGATGTGTAGCCGTCTCGTACGCGTGGCCGTCTTAGCTGTTGCTGTCAGCTCGCAGCTGCGCATGCTTTCAGAGGCAAAAGCATTAACGCGATGCAGTTCATAATGATGTTGGAAAGGATCGGGCGCGGCTGCATCTGTCATGTTCATTGTCTGCCCTGATGCGCGGCGTCAGCTGCGTCTTTCGTCTTGCCCCGCACGTAACCATGCATCCCTCTTCATACGGCGAGACGTAGCGAATAAATATATCATCGGAAGACGTTTTCAGGTGTAAAGGCGTGCTACGTTTTTACTATGCACCACTCGTTTTCAGATTGTCTCCACGTCTTCGGCCCACACAGGTTTGTAATGTACATCACCGTCCGAACGTTGTTCTGGCACTCCGGCATTGGTTAAACACCGATCTGTTGTGAGGTGACTTCGGGTGGACTGAAACTGATAAAACAGATGCCTGAAGAAGGATTGGTTTTGAAGCCTCGGGCTGTCATTGAATCACGAGTTATTAGTCAAATCTTGAACCGTCAGTCAATCGTACGAGGATTAGCCGCGGAGGGTGCGTAGTCGGCGGTGGGCAGGCCCAGGAATTGCTGAAATGTGTACGCGCACAGATTCCAGCCGGCATATGGATTTCATAAATCCTCGCGTTGCCCATTCAGCGCGACTGCAAATATCTGGAAGCGCCAAAGTGATCGCTTACGTTGTATTTTTTGCTGTTTTTATTGGTACGTACGATCAAAACGTGGACTCGCAATCTCTAATGTTGCGGGAAAGCCGCTGGTAGTAGACACATGCTGTGATAAGTGCGCATGTCTCGACAATCTGATGGCCACCAGTCGCGTCATGGCAAGCGAACCGAATTGATGAAGCTACGCTACCGTTTGAAATTATTTATAGCCGAGTGTGGAGAGTGATAGCGCGTGAGAAGAGACTGTTGTATAGCCGTCAAACGAACCCAAGCATCCGGCCTGTCCGCAGGCAGCATTTTGGTTGATTGTAGGCTATGACCATCACATGGCATATTATCGTAAGTGCAGCGAGCGCTTCAAACATACATGCGTGAACTCCTCTCTACAGCGTGTCAGCACTTGCTGTGATGGGGACATACTTCGAGAAAATATGTGGGGGTACCCAGTGACGTCGCAGTTGAACTGCAGGTCAGTATCAGTACATTGGAAGTCGCTCACAATATGGCTATCACGGCCTCAGGTCATACAGGTGCAGTATGAAAAAGCACAAAAGGTGCGCAAAAGTGACACAAACAAGGATCAAATATAAAACAGGCGTGTGGATGCGCTGGGCGAGAACATGGCACGGATAATTACGATTGGTCCATGGAGAAGCGTGTAACCGTGGGCGGGTGAAAGCGGTACAAGAAAACAATCAAACATCGAAACATGGGGCAACCTTCCGCTACCGCCTTGGTTTAATATTTTATATAACCGTGGTACGGCGTCTTAAAGCGAGTGTTTCTGACTTCAGATTCTTTTGTTTGTGAACTTGGCGAACGCCAACTCGTGCAAACTATTCCGCACAGCCTATTCAGAGACCATCCGCGCATGCATAAGGTCCTTGACACGTTCCGCGGTTAACGCCATCTCAATGGCCATATAGTGCTCCAGGCCAAGAAAAATGTCATCGAGGTATTCGTGTCTGGCGGGCGTCATCATCATCTGTAACATCCGTGGACATCAATAAGCCTGCAACCAGGTCAGTGTGTAGGGGTAAGGGTCGAACACGATTGGTTTCATTCCTTCCATAAGGGTCCCTTCGGTCAGTAATGACCATTTCAGTGCTGTGGGGTGAGGGAGCATGGATAACGGTTGGGCAGGACCACATGCACCTGGGTAGCAATCCGGACCAGTCGCCAGCAATCGCGTGTCATGCTACGTGAGCTGTTCAGTGCATTGGCGAGGAACATTATTCACATAGATTAGACTGCAGTATTAGCCTTATTCCCCAGAGAAAAATAAAGAGAACAGAGATAAAGTTAAATTGATGTTTCGGTAGCATGCCTTTGTCGAAACATTAACTGACGTTTTCTGGCACTATTTCGATAAAGGCCTGTTGCTGAAATATGAGCCGAACTATATCTCCATTCTCCTGATTTTTCTCCAAGGAAAAAGGCTAACGCTTCTGTTTTATCATGTGTCATGGTATTTCCAGGACCGTGGCACTAATTATGGCGAAAATGAGAATTGTAGCGAATAACGAATCGAACGACTTCAGAATAGCGCCGTGACTGAGTGTGAATATAAGTAAAGGATATGGAGTCACAGACTAGTATGTAAAGAGACCGCGAGAAAGGGCCAGAACTAGCGCACATACGAAATTTGGGCTTTGCAAACACGCCCCAGCAAACGAGCCATCGCTCGGCGAGCTGAAACACTAGCGTGCTCTAGCGGCACTTGAAGTGGGCCGGTCCGCAACAGTCGCAAATCTGGTACGACTCGTCCGTCAGTGGCTTTAAAAGTCACCTGAATATTCCAGGACGCAGTGAAACGATGACGTATTGACGAGCGTATTTGTGAATAGTAAAGTTTGTTGTCTAGAGCGGTCTGTCGTACTAAAACTATACCGTTAGTTACAAGTGCGCTTATTTTATCACATCTGGCACATGTCTCAATAATGGACAGAGGACGGGCACTCCATGCTCGAAGAACGAAAACTAACTGATAAGCTGGCGGCGTATGGGCATTTTGCCCTTGAATTAGGCACTTTCCAAGCCACCCGCGGCGATAACGACATTTTAAGAAGATCTAAAGACCACATGTGCCGTCACGATTCAAGCAAAAAAAAAAAAACGCCGTTCGCGGGGACGAAGTCCCACCTCATTTGGAGAGGGGTTTGGGCCCCATCGTCGAGGGAAGTTTGGGAAGGCTTGTTCGGTGTGATTGGGGACAGGAACGCAGGCAGTGTTGGTAAGGGGGGAAGGGGGGGGGGGTCAAGAGTTGATAGAGGGATCCCTGATAGTGAAAGCCTTCCCCCCAGATAAATTGGACGTGGCCAACTTGATTTTGTAAGTTATGGCCTCTTCGTTTTTGTTGTTTTTTCCGTCATTAACTGGAGCTTACGCTGAATGCTACCGGACCATGCAGTTGCGTTTGCGCTCTGAAGTTAATAAACTGACAGAAGTGGGAGTTCAATGTCACCAAGGTATAAACCTCAACGCCATTCATTTTACAATGGCTCAATGGCCTCAACAGCACTGGAAGTAATAGCCCTAAAAAGGTTTTACTAGAATGTGTACGGGTTCCACGGAGACTCCGCTAATCAAAATGGGGTCGAACATTAATTATTTATCGACCATGTTAATTTGCATTAACATGGTCGATCCATGTTTGTCTGGAAAAGCTCAACCTTCTCTCAAGATCGTTAAGTGAAAAAGCATGCTGCATAGTGGGGAACATGAGCGTTCTCAAGTCTCGCAAACAAATCCTCGAGCCTAGCGTTGCAGTCTTCGTAGGCCTCACGGCGTCGGCCTCGCGCCTATCACCAGGTGGCGGTCAACGGGCGGAAGAAAATGAAGTTACCTGACAGAAGGACCTTTGAGCGCATTAAAACATCAATCCGTGCAATTGGAAGGAAACCCGGGCATACACTTCATCTGGCGGTGGGGCTGGAACAGTAAAACGGGTAGCCTATTCTTAATGTTGCTGCGACACGATTACGAGGGAGCGGGCTCAAAACTTGTTGATGGGGCATGTTTCATTATTCAATTCCGCAAAAGTATCAACGTCCTAAGCGAAACACGGCACGGTCTCTTCATGCTTTACCTTATTGCTATTCACTTTGTTGAACACTAGTGATAATGATGGAGGTTTTACGCCTCACCGACTGTCAGGGCCATATGGAGACGGATGCCTTCATTGGGCGTGATGTGGAGCGCTGTGGTGGCGTGGCAGGGTCTACTAATATATGCCACATGTAACGTGTAACACTTAGCTTTTGCCCGGCAAGGGGTCGGTGAGCAGGACACTACAGGGTTCCTTGTCGGTCCCAGTCAGGGCTAAAGAGCTCTAGCGCGGTCCGTGGTCAGTGGTCCTGTCCCAGGGCGGACTGTCTACCGGCTGTCATTCTGGCGACACGGGGCGGGTTCCTTGGGCAATCCGGGGGCCTTTAGAAGGAAACGTCATACGTTGATATCCTCCCTGACACGGGAGGCCCTCCATGGACGCAGGGGCCCTTATTGACGCAGATCCCTATCGCCGTAGGGTTCAATTTTTTCGGACACCGGTTTGGCTAACGGGCCCGTCTGAAATGTGGTGGGGGCCCTCATTCGGAACTGGGGCTCCTGGTTGATACAGAGCCCTTCCGTTGTCTCATTGTGGTCTCTTATGGTAAGTTCCCATTTCCTTTCATTTTCAAGGATGTCTGCACAACCTACGAGGTCCTCTCGGTATTGGAAGTCGGCCCCTGTCCCCGTCCAGCAAAGGTCCCCCGGCCGACTCCCGGCCCCTTGCCGGCACAGGACACCTGTTAGGCACTGTGGGCCCTGATCGACACAGGGGCCTCGTAATATTTCAGGGGCCCCGACCTCGTGCCTGCTTGGGAAATGGGCCATGAGCTTTCGACCGACACTGAGCCGACTCTTCGGTATCGGCTTCTTATCTTTCGCCTTTTTGCAGTTCGCCGTTTATCTGATCCGACTATTGACAGGTCGGCTTACATGCATGTCGCTACTTCGCAGCCGCCATTTAACGGTCGATCAAAAGGCATTCGCCAAAATGAGATTTTCTACTCTGTCCTAGATCGTGTGCTTCGTATAGTACGTGAGAGCATGATCTGCAGTTTCCATTGTTAGGCACACACTTGGTACGTGCGGACGAAAATGTTTGTGTTTCGCATAATCATTTATTGCCACGAAAATACCAAACGAAATGAAAAAAGCCTTTTAAAATGCCACAAACGTGTAGCGCCGCGAACACGTCCGGCACAAAATTCTACGTGATGGCATATAGAGCAGGAGCATTCTTGGTGCGATGTGTTGCTAATTTTACACAACGCTTGGCGTTGAAACGCACGATAGATAACTTTGCTCTTGCTGAAGTTCGTAACTTCACAAAACACGCTGCCTTTTTAAAGGCTTTGCAATTGACTTGCTTTTGCACTCTAATGCCGGCTTTGGCAATTTCATTGACGGTCAAACATGAAAGATCGATGAACAGAATATAAAGACATGATGTCGTGGATCTTTACAAAAAAACTTCATACTAATTCGATATCCATATGAATTCCGAGAAATGAAGTTATGATTCCTCAATCCAGCTGGTGCTGCACAAATGCACGTAGTCGTGAAATTATTATTTTTACCAATGCCCTAGTCACAAAGATCCACGGGACGACGTTACACATCATTTTTTAATTTCCACCAGAACATGATTAGGCACCAGGCCTAAAAATGTCACGAGGAGGATGAAAGCATATTTTCCTCGTTGAGTTCTGCGAGGCCACTGGCAAAAATTTTCATACGAATGCTTCACGGCCCCTGACGATTTCAGAAATGAATGCTGCTGCTGGCTCCTTACATTTGCAGGTATCCCACCACAACGCTCATATCTGCTCTCTCCAGGGCCAGCACGCTACCAGACCTTCCTCAGATGGGACTAAGCTGCACGCTTTATTGTCTGGTTCACAAAGTGCCAGCATCGGCGAAGAGATGGACCCCGCACAACATGTCCACGATATTTGATTATAAGATATTTGCATTTAACGCGTGGAGCAAAGGCATTTAAGAACGTTCCTGAACTATGTTGATGAAAAGTAATAGCGAACATTGTCCCAACACTGTTACATTGCGCGAAAATACGTACAGAGACTTGAACCATTTGTTTACGCGTCAAAAATTCGCCTGGTCACACGACTGCGATTTCTTGCGTGGCGCTGGAACGACAAATCGGCCCTCAGCAGGGGAAAAAATATACGCTTATGCGTCACATATCCACAAGCGCATCAAGTTTTCCCGAACTGCTGGCGATTAGCAGCGCAAACGTTGCAATGGCGCCTGGATCACGCATGGCCGCAGAGTACAATATGGCAGATGCGCGGCTTCTAAAAGGGATGGCCCATTGGCAATTCCTTGACACAAATGTACACCCTCTCTGAACGCGTCATGCTCCGTGACATTGGACAGGCTCGCTTCTTTTGTTTCAGGGGAGTGTTCCACATCTGAGGCTCTGAACTGAAACAAACAGTTTGTAAATCATTTGATGCAACTCTCAGCCATGCCGTTTTAAGCCTTCAAACCGTTTTTTTTTTTGTTTTTTGCATGACGCGCGCGCGAACTTGCACAGACTATTTGGCACAGTCTATCTGGAGACCATTCAGACATAGAAAGAAGCATATCATATTTTTGCGAGTCAGAGAAACGTCATGCGAATACCGCCACCTCAACACGTAGCGCTGATGATCAGGGAGAAGTGTGAGCATTGAATTGTTTGTGTCTGGCGTACGTCAGCAAGATTCGTGGTATCAACGGACAGAATGTCGCCCACGACCATTAAATGTGTTGAATGTGAGCTTCGAACACAAATCACGTTTTATGCACATAGGACGGAAATTGGGGCGGTGTGCTAATCACCAGGGAAAAAGACTGGGAATTGAATAAATAAAATGATAGCGCCGTAATCGAGCACTTGAAAGCAAGTAAGGCACATCAAACTAGGGGCGGACAAACGCACAAGAACGCCACGAACAAAGGCTAAAACACACGCACATGCGGCATTCGGGTTCAGCAAACACGCACCAGCTAACAAGCCAGCTTCGGCAAGGTCAAGTATCACGAGTGGTTCAGTCCGCCCGCTACAGCAGGAACTCTACTCGGCCAGTCTGGCGGCGACTATGACGGCATAACAACTTTCCATGACGTTAAAACTACGCATTGAGGGGCATGTTTACTAAACGGTCAAATTCTGTTGTCTTCAGCAGTCTTTCGCATTTAAAAGCACGCTAGTGGTCACAGGTGAGTTTATTTCACCACAGGGCATGCTTCCCTCAGTATCTTCCAATGTGAAACATTTCCTTGATTCGTATAGCCGACCGACGTCTGCAACACGCAAATCATTTTGATCAGGTGTCGGATTAAAAACAACAACAGCAGTACAATGCCATTAATGTCGCCATCTCTCTTCCCGTGTGGTTACAAGTATACTGGCAGCAGTCACTCCAGTACAGATATCTGGAGGTTTGGGCATTCGTTCCCTGCAATGCGCAAGGACGCGGTTTTCATGCCGCGCTGGCGGCTGGGTGGGAATTCACTTCATGCGCTACACCCTCAAGGGTTAAATGTCCTGAAACGGACAAATAAGAACAATGCAGTTAAGCCAAAACAAGCTGTCTCAGGATCACATGGGACGCACTACAAAATCGATTAGATCATAAGATCTATTTTGTCGCCAGCTTGGTTGCAGGTTGGTTTATTCTCAACAAATGCTGAGCAAATCGGGGTTTCCATAGTGATAGGCACAGACTTTTACGTGGTTTCTACGTCACTGTTACGCATTAAGTGAAGTTGCTGTCGTAAGTAGAAGCCTGAACACTTAATGTGTTATATTTTCAAGAATGCTGGATATGCAGTCTGAAGAGGATAAGTCATACCACGGCATGCAAATGCACAGCTCAACTGAAACACAAAATGATGAACTCCACTCAACTTGCATGGCTACATTCTGTCAGATATACCAGGGGTGCATTCGCAACGCATCAAGACTATTCGATTTTAAGTGACGTCAAGTAGAACCTTTGCCGGAAGTATGCGCAGCGCGATGTGTTCTGTATTCATTTTCTTGCTACGAAGACAATAATAGGTGTACTTGGTTACGTGATAACTACGCATATGACAAACTAGCATCTATACTCGCACGTACTTTGCGTGCCCTCACAACGGAAACCGCAAATTATAATACTATTTGTAGCGTAGAACACACGTTTTCTTCATGTGCCCAATCAATTATCAGGACGGACGAAGTCAGCTGTCAGTCCTGGATCGCAAATTAAATACCTTAATTGCACGCAAAGTGACCTGTTCATAAATGCAGCTCTTATTTTGATCTCGCTCCGCCCAAGTCACGACAGATCCCGCGCGTCCAGCAAAGATCCTACGTGACATCACGTAGAATCTTAATGACAAAAAAGCGATTCCATTGATCATAACGTCCCGTTCGCTGCGAGCACCTTAACGCACAGAATCTAGAGGTATGACGCCATAAATGACGTCGATGGCTTACAATCTTCGAAGTCCGCGTCGCTACGCATAACCATAAGACTGTCCGAATCCAAGTAGCTATAAGTACCACATTATCCATCATACTATACAAATTCATTAAAAAAAAAATTATGTTGACCAGCTTCCCACCATGCCGCATCATTTTCCTGCTTAGCTTTACAACGACTGCTGGTCAACACACCAGAATGCTTACCATCAATGCATCACGCTATTCGTCTCACTTAAGAAATCAGAACAGGCAGACATCGGGGCGGACTGGCGTCCGGAAAAGAGTGAATCATACAACGGTTCCCGCTTGTCACACTGTGCGAGACGTAATCATGATGTAATCATGACACATGGCGTAGTCAGACGACATATTGACGAACACATTTACTAGTCAACCCGTGCCATTTTAAATAGTCTTTTACACTTAGCAGCATACCAGCAGTTAAGGGTGAGGTTTTCCACCACATCTGCTGCTTGCCTTAATGTCTTCCAATGTGGAGCACTCCTTTTAATAATGTTAAGACCCCCCTAACGATGTGCCATGGGAGACTGTGCTTACAGCATCAATTATGTCACCTCTCTGTGCAGGGAAGTACCTGGGGATGGCTTTTAAGCAGTATACAATATCCATGGTTCCCTTACAGTTTGAGGTGGGCATCCCAATTTTTGGGGTATAATGAACACAAAATACTTAAATAACATAAAAAATAAACAGCTACGCATGGTATAATTGTGTGCTTTAAAGACACTGGATACTTGTCCTGTATCACAAAAGCTGCAATTGATAAAAATGTCATTAATTAGCCTATTCAACACACACAGTTCAGTCTACATCCTATTTGACAGAGAAATGTTAGCATTATGTG